TATTTATTTTAAGATAAATATTTATACTGTGTTTAATCCTTGACACTCATTAATAAAACAACATTCATTTCTTTTATTTTATTTAAAAATATCATGTTAACTAAAATTTGAATAAAAAATTGTAAATAGTAAAGAACTTTTCTATAGACAAAATAAATTATTTAATTATATATTCAATATTTCATAAAAATAAGTTTGTCACTGGATTGGAAATTATATAGTAATGATAAAAGAAAGTTATATTTTTTTAGAAAAAACTATTATAATACAAAATAAATTCGTAAGTTTATTAATTTATTGTTATATATATATATATATATATATATATATATATATATATATGATTTTAATCGGACTATAAATAAACATAACTTTTAATCTGATTAATAAGATTTCCCATATAGGGAATTCTTCCATTGGGTTTTGGGAAAAAGGACACCTTTGAGTTTTTTGTTGCTACTGTTATGCTGAGTTTTTCTTTTTTTTGTCAGAATTTAGTAATAAGTATGTCACCATGTTTCTCTCTGAATGAAGTCTAAAAAATATGAATAATAACATAGTCAAAGTGGCCATATTTATGAGTAAACCATCTTTTAAACTATCATTCCATATATTGATTTGATTAACTCAACTGCAATTCAACTTTGAGTGATACTGATAATAATAATAAAATTATTATAATAATTGAATAATCTGTATACAAATATCATATGTATAATTTTAGAACATTAAAAGTTCAAATAAAACGTCAATTTTAATAATTAAAATAAATATTCAAAAAATACCTTACCATACATATATTGAAATTTCAATACAATCTATTGATAATAAATTAATATGTAAAATGAAGGAAAGTTTGTAATTTATAAATTAAAATAACATATTAATTTAATTTAATTTAAATCAACGACTCTTTGACCAGTGGTTTTCAAACCAAAACTTTAAAGCAACCAATCACAAAGTGTATATTCAAACCATAAAGTGGAGCAAGGTTCCGCCATAGATGAACTAATAAGTTAAGTTAAAGTTACTGTAATTATAAAACATTTATGATTATTAAAATATTTCACATAATTTAATAAATTGTTTGTTTAAAAGATTTGTTTAATATTTTACAACTTTAATGATTAATTTAATAGAAAGAATGGAGACGTTAGAAATAAATTGAAATTGCATGTTTCAGGAAGTGAGTGTTTCATGACGTTTTGTGACAGCCTAACGGGTCGATAATGTTGTAACGTGTCAACAACAACACTTCTTTGACTTTAGTCAAATTGATCATTAGTCATGAAATTTAATTTTTAAAAACAAATATTATTCTATGTTATATGTTATAATGAAGAATTTAATAGATTTTTATTATTATAACATTTTCTCTTTTTAGTATGAGTCTTTTTATCTATAATTAATTATTTCTTTTAATATGTTAGGAATTTTTAAAGGACGATAAATAATTCTTAATTTTCTTCTATTATTGATTCCCTTTACTATTATATGAATTTTAGTTCATTTTTTGCTTATTA